ACCGTTCAGCTCCCCAACCCATCCTGCCTCTTCACCACGTCAGCATAAGAAGAAGAGCCTGCCATTAATTTGTTTAATTCAAACCCATTTGAATTAGTTTCCTTAATTAGGTTGCTTGTCGTTTGGTTTTCCCCATCCGGCTCAGTAACCCCAAAAATAACTTTCATCTGCTCCACCTTTTCATCTCCCACCCTCTGCCCTCCACGTGTCCACCACCACCCAGCCAGCTCATCATCTTCTACTTTAGGAGCACCTTCTCACCACGACCGTTCAACTTCTGAAGCTACCCACACCTTATACCAGGCTTCATCCGAGCAGATTTCAAAGAACCTCGGCAGGTTCTCATGCCTTAAACCAGCTACCTGTAACTCCACGGCACCCAGATTTCGTTTATCAGCTTTCACCAAGATGCCTCCCAGACTCTGCACGATGTGCTCAAGAACAGAGTCCCACCAGAGGTGAAATGGAAGGCCTACAAGCTTCAGCCAGACACACCCATCTTGGACTTCGACTTCATTGCAAATTGGGCTCCAGTTCTGAACCTGTATCAGACCTCCATCCACCGCAACTGCTTTAAAACTTAGTTCCTGGTCGCCTACATCAAGCACGGCTTTCGTCTCTGCAAAAGGGAACAGCATAGCTTCACTCCCAATACCTATCTCCCCTGCAACTGTACTCAGAACCCTCCTCCAATCTGTCACTCCTTTTCTTCCAGTCATCCTTCCCTGCTCCTACCAGTAATCTTCGATGAATAGAAGAGCAAGCAACCACCATTTCAGTTGGAAGGCCTTGCACTTCTACACTCCCATAGGTACTAATCGAAACTGCCCCCTCCTGAACTTTTTGACCCTGGTCTTTGGATTTTTGACCAGTTCTCTTCACCCCATTCACTCTCTTATCTTCCGAGGCTACAAGGAAAGACTGTAGCACCTTCACAAAATCCATCCACCCTTTCCGTAATCTCCCTTCCGRCACACATAGCATTTGYTTTCCATTTGTTCCAAAAAACTCCACCACAGAGATAAACCATCCCTTTCTGTTTCTTTTCAATTCTGTTACATAATTCTTACCTAGAACTGACATGGAGTTTTTCCAGCCATTCACCTTACCAGAGTTGATAGCCCCATCTATGAAACCTTTCACCCAGACAATGACCTCCTTTGATACCAACACAGTCGCCCTGTTATTCTCTCTGATTTTCATTGCATCTTCACCTTTGATCCTTTCCTCTTTGAACTTGAAAATCTTGGCTTCGATCGACACCTCAGACCTCCATCTTCCTACTACTATGAACCTTCTCTCGTCCTCCATCTTCACACCAAAGATACAATTCACCCAATACGGGGTGTACTGTATCGAAATTTTGATCCTTGATTGAACCCTCAAAGATTTCAAAACCTGAACCAATAAGCAAGGGAAACTTAAAATTTTGTCTAATTAACACATTTTCTTCTTCTTCTTCTTCTTCTTCTTCTTCTTCTTCTTCTTCTTCAACCTTTTCTTTTCTTCTTTTCCTTTATTGGTCATGTTTCTCTTTACAGTATGAAAGAATTGAACAGATTGGATGGTTACAATGATCTGTTTTTCTTTGGTCTTCTCTGTAGAACATCATGGGTATAATTATACATGGGATCTCATTTTCTTCTCTTTAGGAAAGGATATATCCCCTATTGGAAATAAGTTTCCTAGACAGACAATCAAGCTTCACTTGTAACCAAACATGCCATTATCATGTAAGGAACACCAAGGGACACACTAAATGAGCTTGGGTTGCTAGAAATAAGGTCTTTTCATACTGTAGGTAGGTGGAAAGTGTCCTTCCATAAACAAAATTCAGTTGATACCACCTAAGAAATCTCTAGGATGAGTATATAATCTCATTCATCTAATATATTTCCCATGCCATCCTGCACCATGCTTCAGGGTGCATGTGTATGACAAGAACCTATGATCTTGGACCTTTCTCATTTGCCCAAAAAGAAAAGCATAACAAATGTTCAATTTGTTGGGCCATGGAGACATCTACAAAAATAGTCCACAAAGAGTCGGAATGGTGGATTCTTATAACCTCCTATTGTTACTTATTTTATTTAGTTTTTAAATGAGGAGATGTTTCTATTGACATGAAAGAATGGGTCATGGTTTAGTAATTTTATGTACCATATGTGTATTAATGTCTTCTGTGTAGAAAGATACAAGAAGTCATGGCCTTACTCCAAGGCCTGAGATTGGCGAAACAATGGGGAATGCAACAATTAGAAGTGGAAGGAGACTCCAAGCTGGTAAGGGTGGATGCAATCTGGAAACTTGGGAGTTTGGTCACTTATACAGCCTCTAAGAGAGATTATTAGCTTAGCAAGGGAGATTGGGGTGCAATTTAAATGGGTAAGAAGGTCAGCAAATGGAATGGCTGACACTTAAGCTAAGTAAGGAGTTACTAGGGAGGCTTTGTTTTGGGCTTGTTTTTAAGGTTTTATTCTGATGTTCCATCCATCCTGTGGGTGATAAATCTGTAATTTTATTTCAAATCATCAATGGAAGTTACTGTTTCCTATAAAAAAAAAAAGATACCGGACAGCATAAAAAAAATTCAATACCCAATATTGCTCCTGGCTGTCCAGGGTCTCCTGGGGTGGACTAGGTACAGATCTAACCTTTGGCATTTTTAACACAAATCAGCTGCTCTCAGACTCTAACCTGCATTCTCATGCTTGCAAGCCTGAGCTTTTACCATTAAACCAAGTAATGGCCTGAGACTACATACTTCACATAAATACGGAAGAATATGTGAAACACTAGGGACAGGTATATGGTACATAATAAATACCTCAGATTAGATATTTTGTTTTTAAATATGCTTATGATAATCTGAAAATATACTTTTATTCTTCTAGATCCACATATTTAACACTACACAATATTTTCATATAAAATATGCCAAATTTCCTTCCTGAATTTTGAAAAGAATGCATGTTGAATGGGAAAACATGTATCGCAGGTCTTTTTACCATTGGCATGTCTTGCTTAATTTTTCTATGTTATTTTTCATTCTTGGTATAAATTGGATGCAAGTTTTTTCCCTGTAACATATTTGTGAAGAATATATATTTAACTATGGTCCTGGGCTGTTTGTGAATTGTCTGTCCTGGCCCGTGCTTATGGACATTTTCCCTGCCTATTATTGCTGGATTATGGACCCATTCCATAGCTTAAGAAATTCCTTTTGTTGTCTAAAATTGACCCCATTAGTAGTTAAATTAGAGTAGGAGAGAATCTTATCAGGGTGGACATTTCAGGTGGTCAAATTGGTGCAATCCGCTACTCGGTTATCTTCGCAGTTGTTGGGACGACCGTTGATTATGTAACAATGCAACTGAAACCTGTAATGCAGAACTACAGGGAATCCATATTTGGGAGCAATGAGAAGACCACTGATTGGTTTAAATTGCCAGAGTGGTCACCAATCCAAGTACTTGATGAGGAGGCACTAGCTGCAAAACATGCCCGGGAACAACAATTATATGCACAAAGAACACTAGGTAATCTAAACAAAGAAGAATCTTGAAAACTTGTATGGCAATTAGATCAATTTGAAAAGCCTCTTAATTAGCGGGTTGTCCCTATTAACAATGATATAGTTCTTGAGGGCCATTCTTGTCAATTTGCTTCGGTAATCCAAAATGATTACTCGGCCAGAACTAGAACTTTTGTCATGTATTTTGGTTATTCTTCACTCTACATTTTTTTATTTTCTTGTGGAAGGGATTCATCCAACAAAAGGGTGTTTTTACCTTGTAAATTGAACGTGATAAATGGAGGATCAACATAGTTTGACAGTTGGAGAGGAAATATCTCTTGTGTTTACATGATCATTAAACTTAAAACCTTCCCGATTAAGTAATGAGGGGGCCAAGCCCAGAATGTTATCACAAATAATGAAATACTATGATTATGAATTCATATTTGTACATCTTCTGGACCAATCTTTCTAGCTTGCATTCTCTGTAAGTTCAAAATACCATATAACCAATACATGGTATATTATATTGGATTTTTAAGGATGGAGACATGGGTATGGATGGAATGCTGTAGTATTCGTGCAATTTCACCTATGTTGGTCTTTATCAGATTGTATTGGTTCGTATCAGTTGATGTATCGATGAGTACTGGTGGATACGGACCAATACTCATTATGTAGCAACCATAAAATTAAAACAAAAGAATGGAAAATTGAAGATTTAGAAGTGGAAAGTATGAGTGAGATTCATATGTTTTTATCTTTTCACACCTTATTGCTATTTTAACCTTAGATCTTGGGGGCCGTTGGTTTCTTGGGAAGCTATTGACCCATATTCAACTAATTGTATTTACTAATGTTTTTTTTTATTTTTCAACTAAATAATAAAATGATTGTTTTAGCCATAAAAACTATTATTAAAACGGGCATTTTGTCTTGTTCAAGTATTGGCAAGTTTTCCATCAGGCGGGAAAGTTACTTAATTACCTAAGAGATGGGTATTACTTGTCTATACCAGTGATATTCAGGGAAAATAAAATTTTCATAAATTCCACATAAATCTGAAAAAAGAACACGAGTATCTTGGTCAATAGGAATCAAAATCCCATTATTGACCCATACTCAACTAATCGCATTTACTAATGTTCTTTTATTTTTCAACTATAAAATGATTGTTTTAGCCATAAAAACTATTATTAAAATGGGCAATTTTGTCTCATTCAAGTGTTGGCAACTTTTCCATCAGGTGGGAAAGTTACTTAACTACCTAGGAGATGAGTATTACTTATCTAGATAAGTGATATTCAGGGAAAATAATTTTTTTATGAACACAGAAGTCTGAAAAAAGAACATGAGTATCTTGATCAATAGAAATCAAAATCCTATTGACCAGCTCCCCTCCCCCATCAAAGTCCCAAAAAAGAATAGGCCCCTGGTATTTTTAATGCATTTGTGGGATTTATATGATTCTTTTTAGTGTATCATGTCTGTCCTAATCATTCGACCATATTTGTGCATTTTTAAGAATATTCTGATATCATCTTTTCAATATTCTATATTTTGGACCTTTAAGTTGAAGGGTAAAGTTAAAAGATTTGTTGTCAGTGTGCGCACAGTGCACATACTCATGTTCTCAAAGATAAAGGATTTTGGAGACTAATTAAAAATACTTGGTGCAACTCAGTTTGCAATCAACTTAGCAGATGGTGAAGGACAATAAGACTTGAATCATATACGAGGTTTACCCAAAGGCTGGGGATGTTTGATTCCAATCTAAGGGGTCTTTGGTAGTTGCATTGCATTGTCGATGTATTTTGGATTGATTAATATAAATTGGTGAGAAATATGTGTTGTACATCATATATGAGGTTCATTTCAACTAGAAAAATGCATGTATGTAATAAACAACAAATTTGATGTTTTAAGTAAAAATAATGATTTGTATTGATCAACTCAAAATTTATACTATATATATAAAAGTGTAAATGTAGAGTGAAAAATTTTTTGAACTAAAATTTTTTTTTATTTTTTGTTAGAGAAAGGGTATTAAAGTTATTTTATCACGGCTTTAATATTAGTTTTAATGGCTAATAAAATGTCTATATTTGTATATTTAGTTCATTTCTAATTGCAAGGGTTGAAAATGTAACTTCAATTAGGGTTGTTCATAAGAAAGCCCAACCCGACCAAACCGACCAACCCGGACCGACCCAACTCGAATCGGTCGGGTTTTTATCAACACCGGTCGGTTTCGGGTTGTACAAATTCATAAACCGATAGTTCAAGTCAATTTCGGTTTTCTTGTGTGAAAACCGAAACCGACCCAAACCGAACCGACTTAGTTCCTACTTAACTATTTAAATATATATTTCGATTTTAAATTAAATCGACCTAATCTATTTAAATATATATTTCGATTTTAATTTAAATATATTTTATATTTAAAACTGTTAAATAAAGATATTTCAATTTTACATGAAAGCTGAAATATCTGACAACCCAAACTTGCATCACACAAGCACATGGGCCATGGGGGCCATGGATGAACTTAGAGCCGAAATCGACCCAAACTGACCCAACCCGACTCAAACCAACCAGGTCGATTTTGCTTAACACTGGGTCAGTTTCGGTTTCCATCTCAGGTAACTCAACCAGGTTGGGTCGGTTGGAAAAACCTCAGTAAACCGACCCAACTCGACCCGTGAACAGTCCTAACTTCAATTATTATTTTCCATCTCATTTAATCCCCTCTCATTAAGTCTTATATTTAAGATAACTCCCATTTTCTCTTATTTAATCTTATATTTAAATTGTTTTTCACTAATAAACACTACTAATTAAATATATGTCAATATTTTTAACAATATAAACCTATATAGTATAAAATTGACTAAAAAATAAAACCATTTTTTATCGAAGTGGTGGTTAAGTAAATCAACCATCCGAATCAAATTGATCAACCTATGAAACCATAGTTAATAAAAGTTTTAAAATAGAAATAAATATAAAAAATTACAAAAGATGTAGAAAAAAATAGACACACTTATGATATTTTTATTAATCAATTAAAAAATAAATGTAATAAACAAGAATTATTTTTATTGATAATGAAATGAAATACATAATTTAAAACTGACCAAAAATTAAATTATTTTTACATTTTTACTATTTGATAAAGATCAATAGTTCAACTTTTGGGTCGAATGCGTTAATCTTTAATGTCATAAATAAATAATAAAAAATAATAAAATATAAAAATATAAAATGAAAAGAATACATAAATTTTGCAAAAGTAAATACATTCAGGCACATGTATAATATTATATATTTATCATATTAAACAAATGGTATGACATCAAAATTATTTTTACATAGAAAACAAAAAAAATTATAAAAAAAATGAATACATCTATAATTCTGTATTTACACTACTATTAAAAATATGAATAATATTGTAGAACCTTCTTTTGATTAAAATACTTACTTTTGAATTTAGTCCCTATTTAATTAGGAGGTTTAAATTGTAAATTGAACTACTATTCACCAAATTCAATTCCCTCTATTTAAATCTAACATTTTTTTGATAAATTAACAAAAAAAGGATATACCTAAAAGAATTGAACTAGGATATCTCAAGGAGTAGTGTATGTCCTAACTCTATTTAGCGTATCAGCATCTCAAAGAGGCAATGATATAATATCGATATTCTGAATCTTTATCAAAACAAATCAAACCATGCTTATAATGAATCTTAACTGTAAAAGGGACACAAATAAGAGATAAAAACGTTTAATTCAACTTGAAAATCTCTCTTCACATTGAAACAAAAAGAACCAAATGATCCGTTCGTTTCATTGTAGAAAAAGAAAATTTTAATCTGAAATAATTGAACCATATTTCTACCTTTTATATTGAAATAGATGTAGCATGCACAAACCAACAAACTAAACCCCTTTCATGCAAATTGAAACAAGACAGAAAATACTAATTCATATATTTCATAAACAAGGATTGTTTACCCCAAAAGTGGGCATGGAAGAATCCATATTACAGTTTACAGCCACAGTTTCAGAGGGTTCAGTCCCCAATTACCATGCCCCAAGAAAAATACACATCCGAAAAACCCAGTGATCTTACTCGTCAAAAAAAAAAAAAAAAACAGTGATTCGAGTTTTAAGACAGCAAGGAGACTAATGAGACAAATTCTGATGTAACACGCCCCTTGGATCTTGTATTGATGACAAAATGTTCTGGGTATTTTCTTAGCAAAGTGAGTAGTCCAAACCACGGTCTTCCCTTGGATTCAGTGGCAGGCCAGTCCTCAGATGTGAGGTATCTCCGTACCCGACTGTGATGCCAGATATTTCCATACTGCTCTACCAGCTGCTCAAGAATAAGAATTTACATAGTCATACACTGTTATTGATGAATCTCCAGGTTATTTCATAACAGAAGATGAAACAAAATAAAGCATTAAATATCTAGCCAACCTGCAGTGTTTTAAAGGTCTGTAAAGATTAGACTCCATCTAAACAATCCGGGTTTAAAAAGTAACCCACGGTTGATGCCTATGACTCGTGGAAAGGCATAGGCAACCTATCCTTGGGAATGCAAGCGTGCAAACTAATATTGGATATTGGAAGAATATACATGGCTTTCACTCAGTCTTGCAGGATCAGGTGCCAACCAATCAATTTACACACAATTCTTGGGTGGATATTTTCAGGAGTAAAAGTGCATCACCAAAATAGTAGATTTGGTATTCATTCGCTAAGCAACAACTGCCAGCAATCATAAATGAGTTTTTTTTTGTGAATATCATAAATGAGTTTTATTAAGAGTGCTGGCTTCAGTAATGTCCTTTCAATTGCCCTTATTATGTCCTACACCGAGTAGAGAATAGGCCAACTGCAAAAAGCCAAAAAGTGTGATTCTGAGAGGCTGTGAAGCAGGACCAAGTTGCCTCCCAGGCTAATTATGAGACTACCTCAAATTGTAAGAGGAATGTGTCTAAATACGCAAGTTTGATGTACACCTCATGTTATTATTTGCAAAATAGTAAAAAGAATACTGGATTTTTCTATTTTGTGAAAGGCTCTAGACAAGGTTCAAAGTATCAATACACCCCAATATGCTGGAAGGGGTGTATCAATACTTTGAACCTTTTATGTTGTTTTTTTTTTTCAAAATTTCACAGGGGGGACCATTTTTATGTTGTTTAATCATTAAAAAAAGAGTTTCTAAAAATACCTTGAAATGGGTGTCATTGAGCAAAAGATACCATATGATATGCCCAGTCTTTATCCATACATGTTTGTGTCTTAAGAGTGAAGAAAGCATAAATCACCTTTTTTTGGTACAAATCACCATTTATTGTATTCTCAATTTACATCTCAGGATTGGGATCATTTTCTATATATACTCTTTGGGACGTATTGGACAGCACTGATAAGTATTATGAATCTTTTAATGATAAACCTAGAGTATCCACACAAAAAGAAACAAGATTTTATGGCACAATAGAAGGGCAGCCTATCCTATGGAGATTTTGTGGTGGAAGAACATTTTATAGTATATTTAGCATGAAAGAAATGCTAGTCCTTTTGAGAAAAAAGAACAAGATGGTGTAAAGCTCATTAAGGTGAGACTGATAGGTGAAGGATTTAAGGGAGTCACGATGAATGATTATTGAGAGGTTAGTAAATAATGGTGGGCTCATCCACCAGGAACCAATACAGACAAGTGGTTTGGGATCCTTCTGTAGTGGTAATCTGGGTGAATCTGGAATAGGAAGGAGAATTGTTGCGACCTCTCCAACTCACACCAGTAAGGACCCAATCCCCAGAGCTCAGCAGTTTGTTAGAAGGTAGAGGAGACCAGTGGCCACATCAGCAGATTTGGTGCCAGAGTTGGTAGCAACACATGCAGATTTCTGATTCTCATGATGATTGTAGGAGGCCAATATATAATGTTTAAGGAGTTTTGGGGGGAGAGAAAACTAGAAAAATCAGCAAATGCATCTTCTAACAATCTCTCATTCCAAAAATAGTTGGGGATATTAGAGTTAAAGATATAGATCAAAACAAAAATATTAGAGTTAAAGACTTCAGACCTATCAGCCTGATTTCTAGCCCGTTTAAAATACTGGCTAAGGTATTAGCTGGGAGGTTAAAGATGGTGTTACATTCTGTGGTGGGACCCCACCCAAATGGGGAAGTAGGGGTAATTTGTAAAATTGATCTTAACTTCTTGAGAAAGCCATATGATCATGTGGAGTGAGGTTTTTTGGAAGAGTGAGGAGGATGGGTTTCAGGGAAAGATGGAGGAGCTGGATCTTTGAATGCATTTCTTCAGTGTCATTTTCTGTTCTAGTAAATGGAGTATCAAAAGAATTTTTCAGTTCTTCGAGGGTTTAAGGCAAGGGGATCCCCTCGCAGGCATATTTCCTTGGGAGCATTCTTAAATGCTTCCAAATGTTGTCTGGTCTCAAGATTAATCTATGCAAGAGTATTATGATTGGGGTGGGAGACATTCAGCACTCGGTGTTAGAGGAGTGTGCAGGAGCTTTGGGCTGTCTGGTTGGAATCCCTTTTTCTTATTTGGGGCTTCCAATTGGGGCCAGGGCTGTGCTGCTTCAACTTGGCAACCTGTGCTAGATAGAATTGATAAAAAGCTGGTGGGCTGGAAAGGAAATTTTCTCTCTTTTGCTGGGAAAGTTTCCTTGATAAAAAGTGTTCTTTCTAACTTGCCAATTTACTACCTAAAGAAGGCTGTTAATAGGAGTGGTAAGTTGATTATAAAATGAAAAGAAGGCAGCTTGGAGCTACCGAAATTTGGTAAAGAAGATCAAGTGGCACCTGAGAGATGTAATAGTAACTTTTTAATGGGTTCCAAGGGTTGCTAATGGGATGGCAGACTCTCTAGAAAGGCAAGGGGTTGAAAGGGAACAGTTATTTGGGGGCAAGTTGCTTTAAGGTGTGAGTGTACAACTGCTCCTGTGGGTAAGGGAAGGGCAGGAAGTTATGTATGTTAATGGGTAGGGAGTGTCTATATTGGTTTCTGTTTTTCCATCTATTTTTAGGGGTACCCAGACCCTGGTTGTAATCCTATGTATATGCTTGTTTATATTAATGAAATACTTTCTATTATCTATCAAAAAAAAAAAAAAACTTGCCAGTTTACTACCTCTCTTTGTTGAAGGCTCGATTGAAAGAATTCAAAGGGAGTTTTTGTGGCATGTGAGGGCTGAAAAAAAAAAAAAAAGAAAATTCATTTGCTCAAGTGGGAGGTGGTGTGCAAGCCTAAAAAAGAAGGGGATCTTGGGGTGAGAAGGGTAGGGGTTTTCAACAAAGCTTTGGTGGGGAAGTGGGTGTGGAGGTTTGGAAAAAGAGAGAGGCACTATGGAGGAGAGTAGTTGCTTGTAAATATGGGGTGGTGCATTTTGGGTGGGATTCAAAGGAAGTGAGACATTCTTATGGAGTTTGTGTATGGAAGGGATAATGAGTTTCAACTCTCTGATGGTTCCTCATTATTCTTGGATGGTGGGAGGGGGGTCTAGCATTAGGTTTTGGGAGGATGATTGGTCTGGAATTGGGAAGTTTTGTGAGTTATGTCCAAGGCTGTTGTACAGGTTGGATTGGAAGGGAGTGCTTATTTCTGAATGTTATGAAGTTTCAAATAGTTCTGTGGTGTGGACTCCAAACTTTAGAAGGCCTCTCCTCGACTGGGAGGAGGAATGTGTGGATCTGCTATCAAAATTGCAGTCTCTGGAAGTTAGTCTGTCAGTTGATGACATCAGATGGTGGAAGGAGTGCAAGGATGGAAAATTTACAGTCAAGTCAATGTACTTATTCTGATCAGAAATATGGTGGAAGCCAATCCAATTCAGGGAGTGTAGGGGAAACCGGTGCCCCCAAGAGTGGAATCCTTTGCCTGGCTGTTTAGCCAGGGGGCAACTGACTCAGGACACCTTAAAGGGTCGAGGGTTTCATTTCCAAGTAGATGTGCTTTTTGCTTGTCTGGAGAGGAAAACATTATGCATCTGTTCTACCTTTGCAGATTCATTTACCCAATATGGTTTTACTTCTTCAAGCTGTTTAAAGTGGATATGTGGTCAATTTCAAATCAGTCTGAAATCTTTGATTGTTGGCCAAGAATTCAGGGTGGTTCCAATGTCAAATGAAAGGACTTTTTTAATGGTTTTTTTGGACTCTTTTAATTATCAAAAAAACAAAAGAAGGGACTTTTTTCTTGATAGATATGACAGAAGAAGCTCTAATTAACAATTCAACACTTGTAAATAAAGATGATTGGGTATCTAAAGGGTGACTGACTTACCTCAGCATGAAGTTTTGCCATGGGCATCCATTCTCCTGGACCACAAAGGTCAGAAAGTACAGTTGCTACAGAAGAGACAACATCTTTTTCTTCCAACTGCAAAAGTTGATGATTATCTGCTTCCCTGTCAGCCCTTGACCTCGTCTCCGACTTTTTATCTGCATGAAATACACACTAATACAGGACTTGAATGAAATGGATGCAAGCACATAGAAGCTGGATGAAAAATCACAACCGATAACCAAAGAAAAAGACAAAAACAAATAGATGGAAAGATAATTAGAGTTTATGCTGTCCTGTGTTGAATGGCATCAGAGAATTTGTGCATTATCATAATTGACAAAATTATTGCATGGCCAATGTTTTATAACATGGAGCCATGAGAAAGGCATTAGGATCTCCTGATGCATGAAGCATAAGCCTTGAGGCAAGAGGCTTAACATCTCATTTTTTTGACAACAGAATTTTTATTAAGATTAAAGGAGAAATAAAGAAAGGTACAAAGTGGAAACTTCCAACAAAGAGGCGCAAGCTGCAGCCTCTAGGAACAAAAAACAAGTTACAATTGAGCCCAAAATAACTGATTCTTCTGTACCCCTTGCCAATGTTTTAAAACGCGGAGGCGTGACGCGAGGCATTCCACTACCTAGAGGCGTGAGGCGTAGTTCAGAACGCAAGAGGCGTAAGCCTCCCGAACACAAGGAGGCGTAAGCCTCCTTAAGAGGAGGGGGGTTAGGAGGAGGATGGAGAGGAAGGGGGGGATCTCATTTTTTCTTTATTTTTAATAAAAATCTTTTATATTAAAAGGAATAAAGATACATAACATTAGTTGAAAGGAGGGTCTTGTCGAAGCGGAGCAAGACCCCCCTAACTCAAAAAAAAAAAAAAACAAATTGGGTTGCATCGAAAAGGGGGCGGGGGGCAAACCACTTTCTTTCCCCTTATCTTTTCTTCCCTTCCCTTTCCTTTCCTTTTCTCTTTTTTTCTTCTCTTTCTTTTTCTTTCCCTTCCCTTTCTTTTCCTTTCCTTTCCTTTTCTTTTTTTCTTTTTTCTTTTTTTTTTCTGTCTTTTTATATCAGATGTGAAAAAGCGCAAGAGGTGTATGCCTCTTGCACCTGAGGTGTACGCCTCAGAGGTGTCAGCGCCTCTGGCATACACCTCAGGGCGTTTTGGGAGCACCTCGCCTGGAGGCATGCCTCCAGGCGCATGCCTTTTAAAACACTGCCCCTTGCTTAGCTAAACAATCTGCCACCCCATTGGCCGATCTTCTTTCCCAATGAAACCTCACTTCTATGTTTGTGGTTAGCCACTTAAATCCTTGCAGAGCCCCCCTAAAAGACCAAGCCACTTTCTCTGGTCCCTTTCACCATCCGATTACCAGTTTAGAGCCACCTTCAATTAGCAATCTGTCAAAGCCCAGCTCTCTAGCAAGTTCCATTCCTCGTAAGACTGCAAGGACTTCCACATTCACAGATTGCCTGAGGCCCTGAGCTGCAACTGTCAAAGTTCAATTTAAAAATGCCTTCTTCAGGGGGCCGCCACCCTACCACAAGCTTCTCCTTGACAGAAGAGCTTTTGGCAACCAGTTCCCAGATCCACCATAGATCATCAAAACTCAAAAGAACAATGTGAAAACAAGTTAGAGGCTTTAATCCAATTTATAGCCCTGTTAAGTATACACTCCCAAACAGCAACCTCATCTCTCTCCTTGTCATTGAATGTTCTAGCATTTCTTTCCTCCCAAACTGTCCACAAAAGAGCCACCCTAACACAATGCCACATAACTTCTCCTCTTAGGCCATCTGAAGGTTGTAGGGTCAAAGAGACTACCAATCTGCGGAGGCTCAGTTCACTTGCAACCAAAAAGACCAAAAACCTTCTCCTAGAGACCTACAACAAAAGGGCAAGAGATTAGTGAGTGGTAACAGCTTTCTCCATTAATTTTGCAGAGTATACACCAGTTTGGAGAAATACTAAGTCCAAGTCTTCTCTTTTGCAAATTGTCCAAAGTGTTCAATTTTCCTAGAGACACTTCCCAACAAAAAGTCCTCACTTTAGAAGGGATTGGTCTAGACCAAATTTCCTTGCAAAAAGACAATTGGGGTTAGGATCAGAACACAAGGAAGAGAAGAAAGACACACAAGAAAAAGAGCCCATAGGGTTGAAGGTCCAAACGTGTGCATCAAGTCTAGAGGGGTCCAGACAAATAGGTTCAAGAGTCTTGAGATGAAAGGTCATGCAATCAAGCTCAGAATCCCTCAGGTCTCTCCCAAAACCCAAGTTCTAGTTGAAGCCCAAAGATTGAGAAAAGAACACAAACCTTTGAATGGATTCATTTTTAAAGAGAGAAATAGAGTACAACGAAGGAAACCAGTCCTTTAAGGCAGAGTTACCAGTCCAAATGTCTTCCCAAAAAAAGAACCCTATCTCAGTGCAGACATCATACTTGATGAGGATCAAAAAATGGGGAAGAACCTCATTTATAGCCTTCCATGCATGGAGAGTCCAAAGTGGCCCACTGAGATACACCAGCATCCCAACCATTATCTGCCTAACCATGGATACTTCCCACAACCTTATGCCAGAGTCTCTCCCACTCAAGAGGCCACCTCTAGTTTAAAATGTCCCTAATTTCCCTAATATTTCCACTTCCATGGGTAGTGACACGAATTTTACCGGAATCAACATTTCCCCAATAAGCACTACCAGCACCATGTGGAGTACAACAAATAGTTTCCATGACATATTTCCATTTCCACTTCCATAGGTAGTGACATGAAATTTTATTAGAATCAACATATTCCTCAATGAACAGTACCAATACTATGTAGAGTCCAAGAGATAGTATTATAACATAAGGTGGTATACTATTGTAAATATGTTAAGTAACAATGTTATTGTCCACCTAACTTACATGATTACCACTTTGAGCAAGCTCAATATTCATTTCAAACATGAAGTTAAATATTAGTTTTTGTTTGTATAATACATTATTTGGTTGATCTATTACAATCATTTACATTTTCTATGAGTTAAAATTTTTCTTGCTCTGAACCTTAAGTTCACAGGGCAACTTTAGAACATATTCTTTGTCTATAACATAAGTTTCTTAGCTTTGTTTAATGATTTGCAACAAGATAATAATTTAAAAAGGTGTGCCTATGCTTCTTTTATCATTTCATAAAACACCTTTCCATATTTTGCATGTTTTAAAATGTTTCCACCATGTTTATAATTTTTACAATATTTCCATACGGTATTTTTGACATGTTTCTCATATTTGGATGGCCAATATTTCCACCGACATCGACATTTTAAACCTTGACCTCTACAAGCATTTACCTAACAAAGATACATTCTTTTTTCCTAGGTGTCCTATACCCAACCCCCAACCCCCCCCCAATCCACTTTCCTACACACTATCCAACCTAACCAAATGGTCATTTCTTCCTTTGCCAAGCTCCCACAAGAAATCTCTCATAATCTTTTCTAATTTCAACACCTCCCTTTTGTGGTATCCTAAACACAAAATGACAAAAAGAAAGCAGACTGGCAAGTTTGCCAATGTAGACTTGACCAATATTATTCTACCCCCGAGGGATACATAATTTCTCTTCCACGCTACCAATTTCTTTGCACAGTTTTCCACAATTAGGTTCCAAAACCTTCCTTCCTATGACACACCCTAGAGCCTCTACTACTTCCATCAACTCCTACTACTACAAATTTAAACCCACCACGCAACTCTTATCAAAATTGTTTTTCATCTTAGAAATAAGCTCAAACAGTTTTATGTAAATGAGTGACCACAGTATTTTCCCTACCCACCCTCCATCCTCTAAAAAGATCCAACCTATCAGCTCTCAAGATAAGCCTGCTAAACACCTCAACTATTGAAGTAAATAAGAAAGGAGAAATGTGATCCCCTTGTCTCAACCCTTTAGTAGCTAGAAAGATATCTCTAACCACCCCATTAACTAGCACTGAATAATGACAAGTCTTCAAGCATCATTCAATTCAGYCACACCATCTCTCTCCAAACCCACAACACCTCAAAATGTCTGAGAAACACCCAGTCAACCATATCATAGGCTTTCTCCAAATTCAGTTTACACACAAATCCCCCCCTCCCCCCTCTCTTGAAATCCTCCACACATTCATTAGCTATTAGGATTTGTTCAGTAATTTGTCTTCCTTGAATAAATGCCCCTTGGGATTGGCTTATCAAGTTGGGTAAGGCTAATTTTAACCTTAGTGACAATACTTTAGCCAGTATCTTGTAGATGCTTGTCACCAAGCTGATGGGTCTGAAATCTCTTGGTTGGATGGCATCTCTCTTCTTATGTATCAGAACTAGGAAAGTGGAGTTAATCGCCAGACTAATAAGGTACTGCCCATAAGGGTTTCTATTGAGACTTTCCAGAGGAGAGGAGAAAACAAGGAGTCTCAAGACCATAGGAGTATCATAGTTATATGCAATCTGGTTTGTCATACCTACTTCCAAACGACAAACTTGTCATGAGTTGCATTTTTGGACAACTAAGTTGCTTAATTTGTTATTTTCGTTATTGTTTTATCCATCAAAAAATATGTATTATGTTTCAATATTGTGTTTGGGGTATTGATATCAATAGATATAGAATGTTACTCTTATAGATATGGTGATTTTCTATGTTGTGGCATGAAATATATTATGATCTAGTAAAGATTGTTGACTTTTTTCTATATAGATGCCTAATATGCTATGTAAAAATTAAGAAAATAACAATGATTTAGCATCTTTTTCATCAAACCCATCACCTAGGTGATGCCTAGGTAGGCCTAGGTGACTAGACACTCCACTGTTGTGTGCTTCATCTAACCCTCTTACAACTTTAGGAACCAAAAGATTGATCAAAGCTGCTGAGTGTTTTGCAATCCCAAATCACCACATTAGCATTTTATACTTCTTCTAATGGAAAGTTATTTCTTTAAATTGGCAATGGCAAAGGAAACTTAAAAAAGCAGCTCAAACCATCAAAAAATAAGTAACCAAACATTAGGAAAAAAATGCTCAGTCAAGCACCAGTCTGTCAAGACAATGGAAGTTCATTTCCCTCTGAAACCCAATTCAGCTCAACTTAACAAAGCTTTATCTAGCTATTTTGATCTGGCAACATGAATCCTGTTTGCCAATTCCTCTTTAACAATAGCCATATCTTCTATTAAATTGTGAATCCTCGGTTCTTTTCTCACTACTTCGACCCATGTCTTTTCAGCTCCCTAGCTCTTCTATGCAAATGATTTAACCATCTTTATCAACATTCACTCATCTTGACATTCTCGTCTCTGCTATACTTATATCACAAACATGTTCCTTGATTCCCCATACAGTTTTGCTGGTTTTAGTACAAATAGCTACTAGAGTCCACAAGGTAATTTGTAATACTCCAAAGAAATCAAAAAATAAGATTACCAATACCCAAACATAGGTCGGATGTAAAACTCCCACCCGAACAAACATTGAACGATTGCTCACGATTCTATTTCACATAACAATACATCTCAACTAGTGGAGAGAAATTTTCTTGCATGCTGGAAACCCCCCACTAAAATCACGAAACAAGCACAGTTGCCAATAAAAATACGGATAGCTCTAAAGCTTTAACCTTAATCAGAAGCTCCAGAATGTGCGTCAATGGGAACAACAATTAAAATCAGAAGCTCCAGAATGGAAACAACAATTAAAATCCAAATTCCAACTCAATTGCAGTATATTTCATAGAAGTGTGCGTCAATGGGAGTCTTATTTCAATTTCCCATCCAATGGATGAACAGGAAAAGCAAACACACAATTCAAGCAACAATGGCAGAATTCACAAAAGAAGAGAGGACTACTTACCCAATTGTCCAGATGATCCCGCCTTTCCGCCAGACCCACCGTATCCAAACATCTCATGCCCTTCCCTCCGCAACTTCTTGCCAACACCAGCAGCAACAACATCCTCATCGTCATCGTCTTCATCTTCGTCATCCAAATAATCACTCGATGCCCTACCCCGCCCCTTCTTCGAAGGATACAGCTGTGGAGGAGGCAGCGCAACACGGGAATGGGAAAGATGCGCAGCAGACGACGGAATGGGCGGGGGAGCATGGGGAATGTGGCGGGGCAGAGAGCCGCCAATGATGCTGCGGACGGGAAGGAGGAAGTAGAATTTTTTGTCGCCAATCTGGAGAAGGTCCTGGGAATCTAACTTTACGGGAGGGTTGCCGGGGAGGTGGAGGACGCCCTCGACGAAGCATCCGTTCTTGCCGAGAACTTCTAGGGCGAACCGGCGCCTCTGGAAGTCGTAGAAAATACGGGCGTGATGGCGGGAGATGTTCATGCCGCCACCGAGGCTGGAGAGATCGACATCGACCGTCGATTTCTTGCTGTTCCGGCCCAAGATTATGGAGTAAGTCTGCATGTAGTATTCGAAGTCTTCGCCTTGGAGTTTGGCAAATCCAGCCTCCACGTCGCCTCCGCTGCCGCTACTTCCCATCTTCTCCGATAAACCACAGAGAGAGAGAGAGAGAGAGAGAGAGAGAGAGTAGCGTGGAAAATAGGGGGGAAAGCCGGAGGAAGAAGAGTATGGGCCACTCTCATCGGCTTCACGACCAAACCGGAAAAATTTCTGATCAGTACCTCAATTTTAGTGGTTTGTGTCAAGTCAGTCCTCACGTGTTTATGCAATACCCCGACTTTAAAAATGTGTCTAATAGGTTTCTACCGTTAAGTTTTTTTATCACGTGATGGCATGTGCTATTTAAAACTTTTAAAACATCAAAACTACTCTTGAAAGAATACTGTTTATTGTCTTCTACTTTGAGATTGAAAAAATATAGCGTTAGGAACTTACCAAGTTTCGATGACAGTTGAAACTGTTATGGTTACAATTTCCTATATTTTTTTATTTTTCTTTAATTTTATGTAGCTGATGAAAATTTCTTATATATTTTAAAATCCATATTGGATAGTTGTAGCAACCTCAGCTAGGATGCAAGAGGAAATGATGTCCATCTTAGCATTTATAAGGGAAAGGTTCTGTTGATTGTTAACATTGCATTACAATGGTATAACTTAATTTCTTCTTTGCTTATTTCAGATTTTACTTGTATTTGAATTTGATTTCATTAACCATTGATTCATCATTGGTAACTAGTAATCTATCAGTCCACAAGCCGGAAAACAAGATTGCTTGGAATCAAGGTGGAACGACAACATAGTAGGGACCTGATGGGTAGCTTTGACATTTCCAAAATTAAATGACGGATTGTTCATAGTAGGGACCTATTAGACATATTCTGAAAGTTTGGGGTACTGTATAAACACGTTTTGAAGTTCGGGGACTAACTTGACATAACCCCTAAAGTTCAGGGTATTGATCAGTAGTTTTTCCAAGTGATAAAATACATGATAGAAAAATCTCCCTTTTCTTTTTTGTTTTTTGGGCAAAATAGTGGAAATTAAATTATATTTAGAGGTTGTAAAAGGTAGGGGTGATCATGAAAAACCAAAAAATCGAAAAACTAAATTGAATCGATGAGACCGAATTGAAAATTTTGGTTAATTGAACCGATTGATTTGGTTTAGTTTTGCTGTTTTCAAAAAATTGAAGGTATCTCAGTTCAGTTTCAAATAATCAATATAAAAAACTGATGATTAACCGATTAACATGTAGCTCTATAGCAACTTCAAATCCCTTGATGACTACACAGAGCTCTACATTATAGCTATCAATGGCTCTACAAATTGATCTTTGGGCTGCAATGACTTGCCTATCACCAAGTCGTTTGATGACAAAATTGATCCTTGCATTGTCTGTGTTGATCATAAGATCCATCAATGAATACTAGATAATGGTTTTCAGTTGTTGGGCTTAGAGATAATGCATTTAACTTATCATGACTGAGAGTGTGACATGAATCAACAATTATTTCGTTTGCTTTGTCCACCAAGGAGACATGATTTACATCCTTATTAAGATGAAACTTCTTGTTGTGTGCCTCCCAAATCATATATAAGAGTACCTGAAATCTGAAGAGAAAGCATAATCTGATATTTGAAATAAGTTGTTATAGATGTTCACCATTCATTGTACTAGGATTTATACCAAGTTGGGCTTGACACCAAACAACTCTTACAAAGTGGCATTTAAAAAATAGATGTGAAAAGTATGCACTTCATGATTGAAAAAAAAAATTCATGATAACTCTACATTTCTATTCCACGATCTTAGTTTATTTCATGTGGGAATTCCTCCCATAAAGCCTTCCATGTAAACACCTAGTATTTGAAGGGCACTTAGTTTGCCAAATTAACGACCATTTAAAAGAGGAGGTAGAGGAAGATGGATTTTGATTGAGAAGAGTTTGATATGTAGACTTCACAGTCTAAGTACCTGAATTATTTCTCTTCCAAATAAGTTTGTTGATGTTAGGGGTGGTGTTATTTGTATAATGTGCTCAATTGAAACTAGAGTAAATGAATTTTGAAGTAGAGAAAGATCCCATGTTCCTTTGGGGTTAATAAAATGACTTAATTTGATTTACTCATAACCCGTGAATGCAAAGTGGAAGAAATGTCTCCTCTAGTGGTTGAAACCCATAGAAGATCAACCTGAATATCCTTGAGAAGCTTTTGAGCCTACCTCCACCATAGTGATGCCTGACTATGTGTTTGGTTTTTAAAAGGGCTAGTGTATGAGAAGTATTTAGTTTTTATATTACTTGCCCAAAGAGAATCAAGATTGGAGAGTAATCTCCATATTTGCTTATCAAACATTGCCTTATTCATTAATCTCAAAAGCCCAAACCACCTCTTGATTTTGGCAAGCAAAACATGGCCCATGAGACTATGTAAAATGTTGCTAGTGGATGACCCTTGCCACTAGAAGCTTCTTTGAATTTTGTCAATTATATTGTTATTGTATTAGGAAGCATTTGTGGTGGCCATAATATAAAGAGGGATAGATTGTGCAACTGCTTTTATAAGTGTTGTATGAGCTGCCTAAGAAAGAAAATTTTCTATCCAAGTGTTTGTTATTTCTTGAATTCTTTCAACCAAATTTTTATGGTCTACTGAAACATAACTTTGCACCCAAGTAGATACCTATATCCTAGGAGTATTGAATGCCAACTGATGAGGGCGGATTTGGCCCTCCAATAACCTCATGACACATGGCATCTTGGAACAACCGGGTGACACCCAGAATCACTTAAGCGACAACTTGCCTTAGCCAAAATGATGGAGTCCCAGCTAGCGACTTGGTATTGTCGCCGACCTGGCGACCTGCCCCTGGTGCTGACCTAGAGACCTGCCCCTGGTGCCGACCTGGTGACCTGCCTCTAGCGCCGACCTAGCGACCTGCCCCTAGCGCCGACCAGGCGACCTGCCCCAAGCGCCAGCCTGGCGACCTACCCCTGGTGCCGACCTGGCGACCTGCCTCTAGCACTGACCTGGCGATCTACGAGACGTGCTCGCTGTCGATTTCTGCATGCATCCCATCACTCCCTGGTCTCTCGGAAGTCAGCTCTCACATCGAATGTTTTGGGAGAAACCGTGTAAGGCACAAAGATTGGCCTACAGGCATGACTACCTCCAAGGACTTCAGAGCAATTAGGCACGTCCTCCCAGAGATCCCGGACGTATTGCGTGATGCTCACGCCAAACAATGCCTATATAAAGGCCTTACCTCCAACTCCAGGGGGTAGATGCGCAATTTAGTTCTCGTAGCTCTCTCACATTTAGCTATCTTAAAATCTCTTATTCGCTAATTTAAGCATCGGAGTGCCCACCCCGGGTAAAGCAACCCAAGCACTCTAACATTGTTTCCTTGCAGGTCGCATCAGAGCCACCTCTCCAGCTCGTCACCATTCAGTTAGGCATCAGAGCCACCTCTCCAGCTCGTCACCATTTAGCTAGGCGTCCAAGCCACATTACAAGTAGGAATTATTCAACCAGGCATTCGAGTCACCTGCCAGCCGGGGAGCTGTCAAAATGCGCATCATCAATTGGCGTCGTTTGTGGGAAACGCTACAAGAAGCTTAGTTCTCACCTTCTACAAAGCTAAGTCCTTATCTTCCAGAAAGCTAAGATCTCGCCTTTTAAAAATTTAAGTTTTCACTCTCTAATTTTCATTTTTTATGAACTAAAAAGCATTTTTGAGCAGCACCAACATCCATAACAAATATCAATTATTGGGGGGCAAGAACATTTGTGATGAACCTTGAGAACTCCCCTGTGACAATCAGACAAATTCATGCCAAACACAGCATTCCCAGTGCCCCATATAAATATACTGCTACCGCATGTGAACGCCCCTCTCCCCATGGTAGAGCTATCAGTAGTTCCCGCCGGGATTGAAGCGTGGAAATTCTATGAGATGAATCATGAATTTCCAGATCTGAGCATGGGAGAAGCCCGATGTAGATAGCAGAAAAACGACCTCAACTCATCCTCAATAGCAATCAGCCAAGATGAGGCCTCATAAGCTCCATTTCGCGAGGTCGCCTCTACAAGTCAAGATCTTCGTGGCTCCCGTAGGAGCTGACGGCCAACGGACTGCATGGATGCCCTTGTAGGTCGAGCCTTCCAAGGCTCCCGTGCGAGTTGGTGACCTAAAGTCAGTAGTGCTGCCCCCGTAGGTCGAGCTCCCAGTGGCTTCTTGTAGGAGTGGATGACTGGTGTCACTATGAAGTTAATGCAATGCAGTCGTGGCCCCGAACTGCCGACTCATGCCGACAACAACTTTATGTATCAACAGCCTTCACAAGGGGGGGCAGAACATGTATGTTGTGGTCTCGCAAGCACTCACCCAGGAAGATAATCCCACGGGGTGACGTAGAAGCAGCCATATGAGAAGTTACTACAAAATGACCACCTGCTTAGGCGAAGAGAAGTTATGCTGCACGTCGGCTAAATAATATTATGGGGAGTGGACTATGAGTCACTCCCAAAGCCTAAGGGCCACGGCACCGAACAAATAGTGACCTCGGTGCTAAACATGAATAAGACCCAGTCGCCTCATCGGCATGGGAAGAATAAAAAAGTAGTTCGCGTTCAGCCCCATCGGTGTGCAGACAAGTCGGGTACATACCGTTCCGCCTCAGCCTCATCGGTGTGTAGAAGAAAGAGAAAAAGAAAGACAAAAAAAGAAGCGAAGGAATGAAGACTAATTCGGCACAAGAAAGAGAAACAAAGGAAAGACTAGACCATGACAAACGCAAACTTGGTTGATCTCTTCACAGTAGACCTTCACCTCGATTTTAGGCTCCGCATCGAATTCGCTAGCTACTCTTTTGAGAACCAGCTTGAGGGACATTGCGTCGAAGTCTACCTAGGTGGAGCAACCTGATAAAGCAGTCACACAGAACCCCTTCTTGAGGACGGCATGATGAGCTTTGCTCTTGAGGTACTTAGTCGGATTGCAGAACCCCTTGATGGTTGCATCCCTAATAAGGTAGATGTCCTCGGGGTACCTGTTCCACCTCTCCTCGAGCGGATGAATTTGCTCTTATGCCTCAATAATCAAGACAGCGAGGTCCTGCGTAAGGCTGCAAACACTTGGACTCTTTCAACCTGAGGAGCAAATTGGATTGACACCAACGACTACGAGCTCATCAAACAGTCA